GACTCTGCAACATCAGACCACAGATGGTAACCATTATCACAACATCAATAGCAGCAGCAGTGGTGGTAGCAACAGCAACAGATTGCAGTGAAATGAGCATTAGACACGACACAAAAGAATAAAAGGATTAGCTGAGAAGAAGAAAACTAGCCAAACTCATCCATCAGGTCCTAAAGTTCTTATGTTGTCTTATAATGATGAGCTGCAGTTGAGGTCTTACAAGAAGAACAACCAAATAGCAATGGTCTCTAAGCTGAACTGGTGCAATGGATCCCTGTGGTGCAACCTGGTGGAATGGTTCCTAAAAGATAATGGTTCAGAAAGAGGAAAAGCCAAATGGTAGTTGGTCAATACTGTGTTATACCCTTCTTCCTGCTACACATACATCCATTCAAAAAAACCTCACAAATAGAAAACATGCATGTCAAGGAGAACGAATGAAACCTAGTTTCCAACGATTATGGATTGTAGTTATGTGGTCTATGTCCCATTCTAAGGCTTCAGCTTGAAGCTTCTTTTGCCCTCTGTGCTTCTATGGAGCTCCCATGGAATTCGTAGTTCATAACAGCCTGTCAATTAGGTATGGCAGTACTTTCCTATGGAAAAAGCCCACAGGTATTATCTAAAGTAACGGTTCTAAGGCAAATCAGAACTTTTAGACTATGAAGTGCGTATTTGTCCGTTCTGGGAGTTCTGCCTGACAAGCAGACACCTCAATGTGGCTCATCTGGGAGAAAGGCCTAAACTGGAAGGCTTTGAGGCTTAGCTAGGCCTAGTTCTTTCCTGCTAAAACACAGAGCTCCCAGCTAGCATTAGGATAGGAAAAGGAAGCTTGGGTGGAGCTAGTCTTCAAAGTGTTTAGGCCTTTCTCCCAGGTGAGCCACATTTAGGTGTATGTAAGTTTTTTCTTTCTCGAGTAAAATTCCCAGAATGGACAATTATGCAATTTATAGTTCAAAAGTTCTGAAAATCCCATCCCTACATATAGTACAGTATAACACTATAACACAAAATAGACAATATAAACGATTATTTGGTGTATGTTCTTTAATTATAGCCACGACCCTGCTGGTTTTTTTATGCTGGTGTCAGTGCAATGATGTAAATCCCAACAGTGACTAAATGATTTGCTGCTTTGATTCTTTGTTGCACTTCCTGTCATGTGATTTGTGTGCCACAGGGAATAAAAGCAGCGACTGGTTAACTAGCAGCTCTTTGCTGCTGTAGATCACACCACTGCACTCCTGCTGGCATAAATAGTTGACAGGATTCTGGCCAACAATACATAACCCCAAGGCAAACATACCAACTCTTCTACAATTGTAGATTAATTCAACTGGCAACTAGCTTCCCTCTTAAATGCCAAGTACAAGAAACAGAAACCAGCTTTTCTAGCCTGCAGCAAATGAAGTTTCCCATGTTCCATTCTCTCGTTCTGGAGCAATTCTTACAGAAGCAGGGATGTTGGCCTTCAGTCTCTTCTCTGTCTTCTGAATGTTACTGCTGCTTCTGTGGGACTTGTGTTGGCTGCAGTTGTTGTTACAACTACAACTACAACAGGGAGTTAATGGACGATCATACTTTTGCAGTGGCCATCCCCTTTTCATATCTGTGTATACATTCTTGATTATTATGGAGAGAGCAATGCCCTGGGAAACTGACTAACTATGCAAACCTACTGTGTAATTAAATGATGAGAACAAAGAAAAGATTTTCATTCTTTAGGAAACACAGAAAGTTAATAGAATTTTGAAGTTACCAAAACATATATCTTGCCAATAGAAGTGGACTCCATCTGATTCATTTGCTGGGAAAATGCCTGCATTAATTTTTTTTTCTTACAGAGGCCAAAAAATTAAACTGAATGCTCCACCATGTTTTTATGAAATGTGATTTTCATGCCAAAAGCAGGATTTTGGAAATTCCAAATAGCCCCTTGAGGAAAATAAATATCGTCAAGCCTTGGGTAAGATGGGTGTCTGTTTTTAGAGCCATAGATGAGCCCAAGGCTTCAAGTCAGACAAACAAGAACTGAGGTCTAGAATCAGGAGCATAGTCACAGATAGCCTCATAGTTAGATGTTAAGTTAGTAGGCAATGCAAGAGAAAGAATCTACATTGCTAGTCAGTATGATGATGCTCATTCTTTGTGCTCACATTAAAGCACAAAGAATGCCTCAGCAATTATATAGTTGGCCATTCACCACACCCTACTGACTTCTCAAATCACTTTGTCTGGTCAAGCTGAGGAGCAGTACTTTCCTCTAGCTAAATTAGAGATATAGCTACAGGGTTTCAGAAAGATAAAATACCTTTGGATAAGGGGTTGCTGGACTCAGAGGAAAAATTGATTAAAGGTTTATATAATACTTTAATGGAGCAAAAACTGGAAGATGAAATTGTGAAGAACTGCATGGTAAAATGGGCTCAAAATATAGGTCATAATATAGAACTAAGTGTCTGGTCACAAATTTGGGAACGAAATATCAAAATGACTAAAAATCTATAAATCTGAAAGAAAATATATACAAAATATTTTACAGATGGTATGTGACACCAGAGAAATTAACAAAAATGTATTAAAATGTTTGATACACTAAATGATAGACTGGATAATAATAAATGGGAACCTCATATACCTGGATGAAATCTACACTGATTTAAATAGAATAGATTAGATTAATATTATGTTAGAGAGGATAAGACAAGAGGAAATGAATGGAATATATTGTAATAAATCACTCTGCTTGCAACGGATAGAAAAGTAGAAAAAAATACAATAAAAATATTAATTTAAAAAAAGAAATATAGCCTTCCAGCACAAGAATGATCATACCATTAGCTACCTTGGCCTGCAGGTTTCCACAGTGGTATAGGAAATATGGTGCTTGGTTCCCAAGAGCAGAAGAAGGGTCCTGCCTGTCTGTTTAGGCAGCGGACAACTAGATGTGCTCACTTCACAAATTGTACAATCCCGTTGATCATTATAGCCCTCTCCATAGTTGTCCTCCAGAAATTCATGTTCATTCAAAGGCACATAGCTTCTGAAGGCAGGAAGTAGCACGTAGTCATCATGACTAGTAGGACTGATTCCTGACTTTGTTCCTCCTTTCTCAGTAGCTTACAAACTTTAGTAGTCTGTTACAATTTTTTCATACCCATTTGTAGCTCCAACACATTGCTGCTGCTGCTGCTTTAATATTATTGTTAAGGGATACTTTGCTCGTCACTCCATGTTCCCAGTAAATTAGGCTCACAACATGTTGTTGTCACAATGCCTCCACAGCAGTTTTGGCTCTGAGAAGACAGAAAGCCCTCTAAATGACTGTGGCCCTCTTGTCCAGGCAACCTCCAGATGTTCCTTGTTTTGCCAGGACAAGAATTTTACCCCAGTTCAGATGAAGCAATGCCTAATTAGAAGCACAGCTTGGAAAGGTTACTGTTTTGGATGCAGCTCCCAAGCTCCCTGCTAGCTGGGATATTTGGGGAATGTTTATCTTAAAAAGCAATTCTTCCAAGCACTGGAAAGAAGTTACCAGTTGCACGGAATATTGCTGAGATAGTGCCTCCAAAATACATAATTTGCCTGAAAATGTGTTGTGCATGTAGAGGAATACTGCATGTACAGTATGTGGAGACTCCTCTCCAGATGTCCATCTGGGCTGTATTAAGTGAGATACTGTATGATGTGTATTTGACTGGTAAATCTGATATATATGAAAAGCTAATGGACCCATTTACATGTAAAGCCAACACATTAAAAGTAAGCAGTCAACAGCAGAAATTGCCTTATGAATATTTTCACACCCTTCTGCAAAAGGGGAAATAGCTGTGAAATGTCCTGCACTTCTCAGCCTCCTGCTGTTTGAAGAGCAGGAGATTGGTGTAGCTCGGTAACCCGTCTGTGAGGGCTAAAACCCCTCTTTCAGGAGATAGCAACCGTTCCCTCATCAGAAAGTCATTTGTGTTCAGCATGAGGGCAGAGGGATGTTGATAGCAAGCCCCTCTCAGCACATTTAGACTACACACATTTCATTAGTGACTGAATAGGGCTTTAGTTTGGGGGGCTGTTTTCTACATTTCACCCCTTCTGTCTTTCTATTTCAGCAGATCTCAGATAATTGTTCTGTTCCACCCTTATCTCTTGCCAATCACTGCAAAAAGCTTTAAATGCCAAGTGGGTTTGCAAGAACAATGGTAGCCACCTTTTTCATATGATCACTGGTGTGCTGCAGTGCTTGCTGGATATGTCCTACAGAACTAATGACTGTTTCAGCCACATCAATCCTTCACAATTTCAATATACCTTGAAGACTGATTCTAACTTTGAAACTAGTGAAACTGAAAAGGGTTGCTGTTCTAACAGTCACCTGAACAAGGATAGCTGAATCTGCATACTATTTTGTGTACATTTTTTCAAAATGCAGCCATTTTTGTAACTTTTTGAAAAAGTTTCAAGTTCGTACATTTTTTTCAAATGTACATTTTTTTTCAAGTGTTTCTTTCTCCCTCACTGAATGAAATATTTTTGCCATTGTTGTCTCTGGTGTAGCTTCAGTTTATACATTTTGGTGCATACTTTTTCAGATGTACACTTTTTGTATACATTTTTCGATATTTACAGTAAAATTAAGAAAACTACAGATTTCAAGTCTAACTGTGTTTTGATTCATGTTTCCATTCAGGAGGTGCATAGCTCTTGAATTTGTTCAATTTCAAACTGAAATGCAAACTGAACAAATTTCTCAGCCATTGTTATATTCATACCAGACATGTCTTGGCTCAGCATTATACAGTACAGTACAGCATCTTTTGAGGAGAACTCCATTTTTGTTACAAAACTCTTTTCTCTCTCATAAAGAAGACCTTTAGAAAATGTACATTCCTTTTTAGTGTACTTGTTCTCTTTCCTGAATATGCTCTGGATTGGAATATTTGATACTTCAATAACGGGAGAGATCAAATGTATTTACCAGGCTTCTCTTCTCTATCATCTTACAGGTCTTGTAGAAATTTGCCTGATGCACCCCCTCGATGTGGTGAAAACCAGGTAAGGTTCTGCTTGAACAAGTTTTATTGACACTGGAAGGCATCCAAATTGGAAGCTGTCAGAACTCAAAATGCTAGAACTTGTCCAAGTAAGATAACTTCTCCCTTTAATGGCATTTATATTTACTTACTGTTTTTCATAGCGTTTGACAGGCAGAATTTGAATAGCATGATGCATTTCTGCTTGGAGGTCATCTGGAGGTGCTAAATACTTCTTTATAAAATGTGCTCTTCATATGACAGTATGAGATCCTATTCTAATAAAAAGGGTGAGGAGGAGGGGAGCACAGCATGGTTAGATTTTCTTTCCATCCATATTTATCATCTGAAGTAATGTTTTGACTTGAAAGGAGACATGTCATATTGCCTTAGAAATAAAATAATATTGATGGTAAATGTGACCCAACACAGCCAGTTTTGTTTTTCGAAGTCAGTGAAAATGAGAGTTCTTTAAACTTATATTTGCAAATGCCAGTTGGGTGGTTCCATACTAGCTACCTTTCAGGCCTGTACAGGGTCATTTTGGAGAGGAGGGGAGCAGGCCTGGATTAAATATTAAGCAAAACAAACATGTTCTTAGGGCATCAACAAGGAAAGGAGGCACCACAGAGGTTTTTCTTTCTTGCTGGATTATCCATGGACGATGGTGTAGATGGTGCACCCTCCTAAACAAACCACATCCATCCCTCACCCTCAGATCTCTCTCCCCCTCCCTCATGAAGGAGCATGAAGAAAAGCACCTCTATACCTAAAGTAATAGAGTTCTGTTGTTGTTGTTTAGTCATTAAGTCATGTCCGACTCTTCGTGACCCCATGGACCAGAGCACGCCAGGCCTTCCTGTCTTCCACTGCCTCCCAGAGTTGGTTCAAATTCATGCTGGTAGCTTCAGTGACACTGTCCAACCATCTCGTCCTCTGTCATCCCCTTCTCCTCTTGCTTTCACACTTTCCCAACATCAGGGTCTTTTCCAGGGAGTCTTCTCTTCTCATGAGATGGCCGGAGTATTGGAGTCTCAGCTTCAGGATCTGTCCTTCCAGTGAGCACTCAGGGTTGATTTCCTTCAAAATGGATAGGTTTGTTCTCCTTGCAGTGCAGGGGACTCTCAAGAGTCTCCTCCAGCCCCACAATTCAAAAGCATCAATTCTTTGGTGGTCAGTCTTCTTTATGGTCCAGCTCTCACTTCCATACATCGCTACTGGAAAAACCATAGCTCTGACTATGCGGACCTTTGTCAGCAAGGTGATGTCTCTGCTTTTTAAGATGCTGTCGAGGTTTGTCATCGCTTTCCTCCCAAGAAGCAGGAATCTTTTAATTTCATGTGTGCTGTCACCATCTGCAGTGATCATGGAACCCAAGAAAATAAAATCTGTCACTGCCTCCATATCTTCCCCCTCTATTTGACAGGAGGTGATGGGACCAGTGGCCATGATCTTAGTTTTTTTTATGTTGAGCTTCAGACCAATTTTTCGCTCTCCTCTTTCACCCTCATTACGAGGTTCTTTAATTCCTCCTCACTTTCTGCCATCAGAGTGGTATCATCTGCATATTGGAGGTTGTTGATATTTCTTCTGGCTATCTTAATTCTGACTTGGGATTCATCCAGGCCTGCCTTTCCCATGATATATTATGCATATAAGTTAAATAAGCATGGAGACAATATACAGCCTTGTCGTAATTGAGTATGTGCCAGTAAGCACTAAAAAGTATAAAGACTCACCTAAGGAAAAAACACATGTTTTGAGTGAAATGATCAAACATCATCGTCATCACTTGGTTTCTTCTTCTTCTTCTTCTTCTTCTTCTTCTTCTTCTTCTTCTTCTTCTTCTTCTTCTTCTTCTTCTTCTTCTTCTTCTTCTTCTTCTTAACGTTTGTATTTTGGGAAGTTGAGTGGGGATAAGTTTAAAAAGAACAGCTTTTCTTTTACATCCAAAAGGATTCTGCACTTCATGTGCCAGCCAATGAAATAACAGCCACCATTAAAAATGCCTCAAAATGGGTTTTAAGTTCTTGTTTAAGTTTTTCAATTTACAGATTCTGGCAGAAATTGTCTACATTAATCAAAGTGTGTATGGGCTTTGATTAATGATTTTATTACATACTTTTTCAGAAAAACAACAGCCCACTGAAATAGTGTTAAAATTTACACTGCTAACTTAGAAATGGAAAATTAAAGTTTCTACTAAAAATTTAGATTTCTACTGATTTTTCAGGATTCTTTTTCAGTCACACTGATATTCTGGTCTTATCAAAGCTAAACAAATTAAAGTCACATTGTTTTCAGATAAAGAATCAAATATGCCCTTAATGCCCAAATTAAATTTATGAAGGACTGCCTTATTTACTTATGCCACATGGGTTAGGAATGTCTGTCTGTCTGTCTATTACTGTATTCATGGGATCAGTACCTCATGATCCTGGACTAGGTCCATTCTGTGACCTCAAGGTAAGACACCTCACTTGCTTGAGTTAGGGGCCACCCTGTTCATGACAGATCCCTATTCAGGCATCAGGAGCAAGAAGGTGACTTGTACTCCCTCCATTTTCATGGAGAGTAACAGTTTTAAGAGGAAGGCCTTTGCTGCAGGAGAAGCCTCTCCACATAACCAGGGACCCTACATTTTAATGGTCCCCAATCATGTGGAGAAATTTCACACATAACAGAGGTTTCCTTCAAAGTGTCTGTCTCCATGACAACAGAAGGGATGGAGCTAGCACTTTTTCTCTCTTCACATATTTAAATCACTCCTTTCCCCAAAACCTTAATAGGACTTCTGTTATCTAATTATCCAAGTCCTCCAGCCAGTTCTCACAAATTTATTTCTTCTTTATCCATTTGATTCATGTCTCATCGTCCTGTCCCCCCCACACACCGTTACTGTGCTCAGGACAGCTTGTAAAGGATTGTGTGGATCAAGAAAGCTAATCCCTTCTGCTCACCTGTCTTAATGCAGTGGTTCTTAACCTTTGTTACTCGGATGCTTTTGAACTGCAACTCCCAGAAACCCCAGTCAGGACAGCTGGTGGTGAAGGCTTCTGGGAGTTGCGGTCCAAAACTCCTGAGTAACCCAAGATTAAGAACCAGTGTCTTAATGCACTGCAATCTTCAACGAATTGTTTCCCTCATCAGGTTCACTTCTCGCATCAGAGCTAAGGTGAGAAAAAACAAAATGTTTCAGGCAATTAATGGGATGGACAAGTCAAAGGAGAAGTTAGCTACTCTCACCGACATGTTCCTTTCAATGTAAAGACATATCCCAATGTTCATTTGGAGAAATAAATGCCCAACCCACTTCCATCTCACCAGGTTGGGTTCTAATTTTGGCTACTCAGTGCCTCACTTTTACATTTTGACAAATGAGACTTTGGCAGGCATCCTGTTGTGCCACTCCACCCGTGCAATGGGAATGATATCATAGTCAATGGCATATTGGGATGCCATTAAGAATCTCTTTTTTATTTTAGGATTCATGCCATTTTTTTTACAACTTGTGCACAACCTGGAATTAAGGAAGTCTGCTGCTTACAATAATGACATCCCCACTGTGCAGACGGAGCTGTGCAACAGAATACTGGCCTTTAGTTCTGATGCTAAATGTCCAAAATATGTATAGAGTATGCATAGAATGTCTAATTCTGTGGTTTCCTTTGTAATGCCTCCAATAACACACAGCAGCAATCAGCAGCTAAAAGATACTAACAAATAGTCTAATGAGGAATGGACCAGGAAAAATAAATGTAATAATAAATACATTTGTAAATATTTATATGGATGTACATTGTACTTTCTCTTTCTTCTGCATTGTATTTCTATTTACAATTATGTGGACAGTCCAGATTTCCTAGTATTACATTTCCTGAAAATGAAAGCTCAGTGTTGCTGAACAAGCAGGAGGCTTACATTTGCCCTCTGTTGGGCTTCTTTTAAACTGGCCCAAAGCCATATTGGCAAATTCAATGAGTAAATGATTGTTCTGGCAGTAATTTAAATTAGAAGCAAACAAACAAATGAATAGATTATTTCTGTTTACTTTTTAGAAATTTGCTGAACACATTCCAGTTCTAAATCTTTCTAAATGCCTGACAATTATCTCATGCACATTTATTTTGAAATAACATGTTGAGATAGGATCCATCTTCACAAATACTGTTTTCACCCACTAAAACCGAGCCTTTTCTGGTAAGTCCTGGAGTGATAACATAACCAACTTGCTCTCCTGCAAGGACTTGGGCGAAACGAAGTTGGGATAGAAATGCAACATTTTCCTCCTCAGAATGCCAAGACATTCCCTGAGGCTTTCACTAGAGTTCACATGTAGAGTTTTGCTTATTTTGGTGCCCAAAAGGCACAAGCTGCCCCAAGGAGCACAAGTGCAATTGTATCAGTCCTAAAATTAGGATGATTGCTGCTTGATTTTTTATTTTTAAAAACCAACAAAATAACCCTCTTCGTGGCTTGCTTGTTTGCAGATGGGCAAAATAAGGGGTGTGTGGGATGTCGGCTGCTTTTTATAAAACATACTTTCCCTTTCACACCTGGAAAAAGATTTGAGGACGGCTAAGCATGAAGAAAGGAGGAGGGAGGAAGCAGAAATACGGGGTGGGGGTGGGGGTGGAGAAAGGGCTGCCCATTGCACATCCCTGGCGGAAACTAGCCTGGCATGATAAGTGATTTCTGACTCAGCAAGGATATAATGTGAATTTGTTGTCTGTTTAGCTTGGATCTAGGATAAACATATTTTGGATTGAAAGGTAACTTAAGAATGAGGGCAAGCAGAGAGACACAGTAATGAAGTAACCCTGGCCTGCATGGAGAACACCACCTTGTTACATTTCAACCACATCACATTAGGTGTCGGCAAACATTCCAAATTGCTGGGAGGGTTTGAACAGTTAGGTTTCACAGCTTGCTACTGCCTATTAACTAAAACAACACTCTAGTTCAAAAATCTCTTGTACTGGATGAAAAACAAGCACCACTCAATGTGTTCTGTAGCAGGAG